TTATTACATTGTTAAATAAGTAATCACTTACCCAAATATTATTTATTCCACCTTTAATGCTGTAATGTAGCAAATATACTTCTAACATGTGCTTTGTCTTCAGTCGTTTATATGATTTTAAATTTTAACAGGATTATCCATATCATAGTTATCCGGTAATATAAAATTAGAATATACAAAACTAAATCTCTAAATCTTATTCCAGTTAAAGGTAAATGTAATCGTTTCAAGTATGATATTTTATGGTATTTGAAGTTCTTAAATTTGGTATATGGAAAGCAGTATAAACATTTTGGCTTTTGCTATTTTATAATGTAAAATTCTTTTTAGTGTTGTAAATTTGAATTCACTTATCAAAATTTATCTCGAAAATCTTTTGTGTTGAAGTTTAAACATGGGATATTATTGCTTTAAGTCTAGCCATTAAAGCTGATTCTGAATTTTGACATGCTTGAATAATGGTTGAATAATGATAAGAAAACAGGGTTATACTCGGCAAATTTCTTCTTATGGCTAAATAGCGCCATTGGAAATCTCAGAAAATCATATAAAAATTGAATTGCAAAAAGCCTTCAATATCATTCTTGACTTTATGATTGTTTGTCTACTAATAATTGTTATAAATATAGTTTATTTATACTGATATGCCAATTAGCATTTGTTTTCAAATTTCATGCGCATAATGCACATCACTATATTTTTGTTAGTTAAAATTAAATGGTAGTTTTCTTTTATGGTTAGCTGAATCCGATATTATAAGTATCTGCTTTCGCTATTCCACCCGATTATGAGATTTTAATGAATATCGAATTTTATAAAGTTTGTTTTTAATGTTTACATTCAGAAAAATTCATGCGTCAATTTGCATTGAGGTTTCATCTGGATGGCACTCAATTAAATCTGGTAACTTGGAATTATATTCCTTTTTTTGTAAGATCTTTTTAACTGACAACCGATTTAGGTGTCGGGAAATGATTGTCGAGAAAATCATTTAAACTCCTTTTTTTCATACAAATCTTTTGAATATTTTTATCAATTTTCAAACTAATAATTTGAAAGAACGAATTTATAAAAATCAGGTGACTGGTTTTTTTTTTATAAAAGACAATGATTTCACTCTACTCTGAAGTCAAAAACAAAAAGTTAAAAAATAAAAAATAATCTAATAATTAATACAAAAATTCTTATAGAACAAAAAAAATAATAATCATGATCGAAAACTTACCTTGTTATTTGTTTTTTTGACCACACTTTCCATGGTCTATGCTTTTCCATATCATTTGAATAAGAGGGCTGCTAATTTTGGACAATGTCTGGGGCTTCTACCACCATCAAATACCGCAGTAATCAGTAATGTAACACTTAGCCCTGATTCTCCAAAAGCTGGTTCTAATCTCGAAATTAAAGGTTCAGCAACGACCGAAACTAATATTGATGAAGACGATTTATTCATTTTTGCAATTCTTGATGTAACAGTTTCACCCCCTCAACCTGTATTCTTCCCCGAACCTTTTTATATTTGCGCGAAAACTGAATGTAATAATACAAAAACGTTTAACTTTGATGAAAACTATGTTTTATCATTACCATCGTTACCAGTAAAATTCGTAGTTGGAGTTGCAATTGGACCTAATTCATCCAAAGTAAAAGCTTGTGGAGTAGCTTTCTTCCCAGAACAATAATTTAATCTCAGTATTTTAAAGAAAATATTTATAATTCCTATTTCTTTTCTTAAACTTATTTA